ACCGTCAGGACGGGGTGTATTAACCACACAGGTCTTTGCTTCGATACTTAGAGCAGCTGGCTTCACCACTGGTGGTGGGACTGTGTTTAGCCCCTCCGAGGATGTAGCAACGGCTACGTATGTTTCTCGCTCCGTTGCTGATGTTTTACTTTTGTTAAAGTCATCGATTCAACCGAAACGCTCTATGGCAGATTTGGTCTGCTTTTCTTCTTTATATCGGGAGCAGGGTCCCAGGGGGCTATTTCGCTTTGAGCAAAAGCAAACAAAACTTCAGAACATGCCTTCTCGGTGAGAATTGAGATCGCCGGCAACTTCGGCTGAAAAGTAGTGCGCGTTGGAATCATCGCCTTCACACAACCGTCAGACGGTTTGCCAAGTAACGACACTTAGCTTGTTTCCGGTGCCGAGACAACCATAACTTCTTGCTTAGCAAACAGCTTACGTGGTTTCCGGGCTCGCTTTCGATTTACTCGAATTGACCCCTGAACTAGCAAATCGGCGTCGAGCAGAGTAGCTTTAGATGCGACGTCCGAAGCCGCTTCATTTTTGTGGTGGTGGCCGTCTGGACCGGTGACATAATGATTGGTGCCACAAGTTGATCATCCGTGTAAGCGAACAAATGTGCGCTGTTTGACCGGAAGCGTCTTCATGAGAAGCTCAATCATAAAGCGAAGAGCTGAGCGCATCGAAAACGAACGCTCTACATTTCGCAGCCGGGTATCAAGAGACTTGTCTCTCGTACGGAAGACCGCGCGGCCTTGCCGGTGGCTGCAGCAATCGGCACAACGGAAATGCGACTTTTCGCTGGAGGCCAGCGCTGCGCACTGCTCGGTATTCAGGTCCGTAAAAATCTGATGGTACCATCGCTTGCAGCTAATGCAATACATACCGCCGGAATCGTCAGTTAATGGTATACTGCAGCTTGGAGTGCCACAAAGTGCGATATCCTCAGAATCCAAGCCAACAGGAACAACAGCCATGGTGCATTACGAGACGGACATAGTGTAAAACAGAGTGGAATTATAACACGTAAACAATAGTTAAACAACCTCAATAAAAAGGCAAAAACTGGGTGCAAAACGGGCTTAAAAATGGGAAAATCAAGAAAAATTACCAGTAAGCGCCAAAGACGCTTTGACCAGAACCGCTTTAATCGATCCAAGATAGCTTGCATCAGAGGGCATTTGACCATAGTCAACTTCGGTTGTAAGTGTTTATTCAAACACTGTTTTCCACAAACTTGTAGCTAAAAAGCTCGATCAGTATGGCACGTCACAAAATCGAGTTACTGCGTAGAACTCACAGTGACTGCCACAGCAGGAACTGCTAGGGCAGGAAATGTGGGCATTAGCTGGTTGGCCAGGGTGCGATACGGGTGTTCCGTTTTAGATCCATCAATAACTGAGCACTTCATCAATTCCTGGCTCAAAGATGCACTCGAGATGGAACACCCGCGGGATTATCCTATCGTTCCAGTCCTATCTGAACTGAAATGAACTGAACCGCTTCGCTATGCTAGTACTTAGTATGCCCTTATGATTTAACTGGAAAAGCGCCCGTACCTCGGCTATTCACGTGGGCAATACAGCGGGGACTGCTAGCGCAGGCCGCGTGAGGCGTTGATTGGTTGACAGTTTTGTGATTCATTGTTGTAATCATTGTAATCATTGTATTATAGAGAGCAGAAGGAAAGACCTTTGTCAGCTCCATCACCTCCCAATCATAGCAGGTGTTGGCGCAACAGCAATTAACAAGTTAAATTGTCACAGTTACATAAGAAACAACAAGATCCCTGCAAATTCAAGAGGTATAAATCCAACAATCGTTTAAAACATTCTTCCGTATGCGCGTTGACGACGGAATTAGGCAAGCAGTTCCAGTCGTTCACCACACGAGTCGATAGTGTAAAATCAGAGCGAAGTCTGAGTCTCCTAGGTTTGAACAGTTTCCAGCAGTGGCCCCGAGTCGAACACTCAGTGTTAACCTGGAAGAAATTTTGGAGCTCGTTTCCTATCTCGCCTCGCAGAATGCGCCGAGCGTAGATCAGATCGCCTCGGCGACGCCGATATTCCAGGGAGAACATATTCAAATGCTGGAGACGAAGATAATATGGCAGGTGTCGGAACTCAAAGACATACTTAGAACCGCGTCGCTGAACTTTTTCAATCAAGCCATGTTCAAGCTTTGAAAGTGGATGAACTGCGGGTAATCCATATTCGAGGATTGGACGCACATGGGAGGAAAAGATAAGTCTGAAGATCTCCGGCGTCAATCGTGAGAAGGCTCTTCGGATAGAACACAGTAGCCTGTTAGCCGCAGCAACCTTCTTCAAAGTATCTTGGGTGGTTTTTAGATCACAGCATACTACAACACCAAGGTCTCTTTCCTGTTTCACATTATTAAGCAAATAACCACCAAGGTGGTAAACACCGAATGGTTCAGTAGCACCAATGGGGAGTACAGAACATTTATCGCGATTTATAGGCAACTGCCATTTAAGAGACCAATCGTGCAGCCGATCCAGTGTATTTTGGAGGCGGTCAGCATCCTCAGCACTGGTTACCTCCATCCATAACTTCAAATCATCTGCATAGATCAAGCATTCGGTCCGGAGGGTTGAAGGAAGGTCGTTAATGAAGAATTTGAACAACTCTGGTCCAAGAACAGAGCCCTGAGGAACGCCACTGCTCATAAGGACGGAGGGTGAATACGTATTGTTGACCTTAACTCGCATAATTCGGTCTGAAAGGAAATCCGAAATCCACGACAAAACCCTCCTAGAGACACCAATCGCTTGAAGTTTGAACAAAAGCCGCTCGTGAGGAACTTTGTCAAACGCTTTGCTGAAATCTACGTAGATAACATCCATACGTTTGCCAGCATCCAGAGAGTTCACCCATTTCTCTCTGGCAACTAACAAATTGGTGGTACACGAGCGTGACTTACGAAAGCCATGCTGAGCAGTAGAAATCACATTCCGGTCTTCGAAGTAAAGGCTGAGAGCTCCCTTGAGAATCCGTTCCATAAGTTTACACATTACTGATGTTAGGCAAACGGGACGATAGTTTGCTGGGTCTTGGCGGTTCCCTCCTTTAAATATGGGCTTGACAATACCCAGCTTCCAGGCTGATGGAAGGCGTCCGGATTCAATAGAGCAGCGAAACACATGACAAGCTGGGGCTGCAATGTACTTAGCCACGGTCTTGAGAAACAGTGAGTGCAGGTTATCAGGACCGGGCGAGGTGTTCGGATCTAACTGAAGAAGGAATTGAGTAACAGTTTCTCTACTGATCTCGAGATGATCCAGCAAAGAGGAGCATGGGAGTACTACGTCCGAAAACGCAGTTTCATTTGTAAAAACGGATGAATACTGTTGAGCTAAGAGATCCGCTTTCGCAGCATCCTCCTGAAGTAAGGCAGCGTGTTCACTGGAATACAGAGATGGAATGCCATTACCACCTTTGGTACCCCTTTTCAGATATGAGAAGAACATTTTGGGGGAGCACCTGGACTGCACAGCTAACTGTAATTCGTAGTTTTGGCGATTCTCCCGCTTCTTCAGGATACAAAGGTTCCTAAGCGTTTTGTACTGCAAGTAATCGGCCGTCGATTGTGTACCCTTGAATCGATCCCATAATTTGCGTCTTTTATTCATCAGAGACCTCAACTGTTTGTCAATCCAAGGAGGACCTCTTGTTAGACCTCTACTTTTAGAAATAGGAACAACCTGGCTGATTAGCGACATCATGTTGGAGTAAAAGTGAGTCCAAGCATCGTCAACACACAAAAAATGAGGAATGGTCCAGTCCATGTTAGAAGCAGCCTCCTGCAGACGCTGTGGATGGGCTCGCCAGAAATTACGCCGGAAATCACCTTGGTCATGAACAGAAAACCGACGTGCCCATTGGAAGGAAATAGCACAGTGATCGCTCTTACCAATAGGTTGCATAATAACCAGGTCGGTGACATCTGACGGCATTGGGGATAACACTAGATCAAGAATGTGTGGCGTTTGGCCTGAGAACAACCGAGTGGGTGAAAATACATGCTGAGACAAGTTACAATCGAGAACGGTCTGAAGGAGAAGGGCATCAAAAGAGTCAAAAGGAAGACCACAATAAAGCAGGTCCCAGTCAATGCCAGGTGCATTGAAGTCTCCAACAATTAAGCAGTCCTTACCTTTGGCGTGCGATTTAATTGAATCCAGTAAAAGAGCTCCCGAACCCAACGGAGATCTATAGGCGACACAGACCAGGAGAGATCTACACCCGTCATGAATACGAAACCACAGAGCTTCGAAGCCACCATCTATATCACAAGTAGCATCAAGCAAATGTGCCTTGAGGTTCGTCCTCCAATAGAGTATAACGCCCCCGCCTGACCTCACTCCGTGGCGATCAGCTCGGGTGAAGTGATATCCAGGGATATATACTTCCGAGTCACGAATGTCCGGGGACAGCCAGATCTCAGAGTAAGCCATCAAATCAGGGTGATTATCCATGGTAAGAAGTTGAATCTCGTCCAATTTGTTCCGCAAACTGCGCACATTAGCGGCCAGCACACTCAAACCGGTCTTCGACCTCACTGTCCGGGTAGGACAAGGATGGGTCTCCAGCGAGTTCTCGGAGTTTTCGGAACCACTCGAAAATCCACAATGTGAAGGTCCGTCTCACCATTTGCCCGGCGGGTTCGAAGTTCACCAACCGCACTCTTCATTTTTATCCGATCTTCAGGGGACAGGTCTCTCAGAACATAAAACGATTCTCCTTTGAGACGTGAAGTGCGTCGGAGGATGCGCCTGCATTCATCCACGTTTTGGCATACGATCTTGCGAGGACGAGACTTTGTAGAGTCCTCCTGCTTCCTGCCAATGCGAAAGGCAGAAACAACATTTATCCCCGGTTCACCTTCATGTGTATAGATTTGGCTCTTTTCGGTTTCAACTCGCCCTCGCGAACTCTATCCTGGTTCAACGACGCATTGAAGAAGGAACACACATGGGAATTTTTCTACCGTTCCTGTCCAAGTTGAACTTGAACTTGATAACTACATGGTTGCTGTACCATAGCATCACTGTCAAAATCCCATTGATCGTTGGTGGCGTGTTCGACAGTCTCAACGTGATGACTCAGACTTCGACGCTCGAAGATCTTGTTCGGCGATTCCAAGCTCTTGTTCAAGAATGGAATAGAAAAAACCATAATCTGGAGTTCTGCGCCGAAAAAATTAGAGATATCACAGTATTTTCTATTTTTTTAATCTGTAGTCCTCTCTTACTCGCTTCGCATTTTTGCCAAAAGATGAAAGCGATGCTTCAAGGCGCGAATTATTCATTGCCCGTAAGAAACTTCCAGACTTTTTATAGCAGTTTAGGAGACACTCTTGAGATTGCTTGCTTCCTTGCTCTTGAACAGAAGGATATCCCGCTATTTGAACATTACATGTCACAACTGAAATCCTATTACTATGACTATAGGTATACTATGCTTCACTTTCACTCATGCCCTAGAACCGTTCTCCCAGAGTCTGCGTTAAAATACGAGTTGCTTGGCTTGAATCTCCTGAGGCTACTTGCTCAAAATAAACTGGCTGACTTTCATGTCGTGAGTTCTTATCGTTTGCTGTCATATTTTATAGGAACTGGAAAGGTTATCAATCGATGAGATTACTTCAAATGTGTACATCAAACACCCAGTGTCCATGGAGCAGTATTTGATGGAAGGGAACTTTCAACGTGTGTTCCTTTCTAAAGACAACGTACCATCTAGACGCTACGACTTCTTCATCGACATCCTCTTGCATACCACTAGGTTAACCCATAAAACTTTGGTTATTTTCTTAGAAATGAAGTTGCTTCTTGTATAGAATCCGCTTATGAAAGCCTCTCGCTCGACGAGGCGGCCCGCACTTTGTTCTTTGACAACAAGCAGTCTATGCTAGAATTCGCACAAACAGTAAGTTTAGGTAATTTGTTCTGATTCCTTCTTAGAGGAAATGGGTGCTTGACGACCACAACATCTATCACTTTCTCAAAGATACGAAGCACGTAGATGACTCGATTCCCTCAGCAGATGTAACTAAAGTTATGCTTGAGTATACCAAGGAACTTGACCAAATTATATGATTTTGAGTCGCTTGTTTTGTGACCTTTTTATGTTCTTTCTCTCTATAATACAAATTACCAGTTCCGTTTAATCACTTTCTTTTTCATCTTTGTCTTTGTACTCAGTTTTAGTTCTGTTGATGTTATCTTGGTTGCATGAGTACAACTGCCGGTTATTTTCCGTGGATCCTGTTAACACTTATGGTGTCCTTCGAAAAGGATAAACATGATGGTTCAGCTCACTAGTCGGTTCACTTTGTATATTTATGAAATTTTGGCTCGCTATTGCCTACGGGACTGCATTGTTTAGACCATGGTATTTTCGTGATGTCTGCTAACATTTTATCACAGCTTAATTATCAGACTAGTTTACCATTTATGATCCGTGCACTGGGATACGGTGGATTCAGTAATCTTAACGTGGTGCGATGGTTTGTGCGCCTCAACGATCCATTGGGTTGTTTAGTTGTGCCCTTTACAATTCTACAACCACATACCAAATCCGTCGATAACTAAATACCTGGACAAATTCAGTCTTCTGTTTCCCCGGTATTAGGAGCGCTGCCTCCATACAAATTCATTACCTTCGTTAGCACTTATCTTCATTGACTGCAACTACTTTTACTTCAGGTCCTTACTGATCCTATTCAGGACTGTGACGCTCTTCCTTTTCACTATATAACGTCCAACCCCTCGAAATTTCCCACCTGGATATGCCTTCATCAGTTAAAGTTCAATTGGGACCGGAACAGTAGGAAGATCCCATGAATGTTCCACCTTCGAAATCGTTGAGCCACAGTGGATGCAGTGCATTGATCTGCCATGGAGCCAGATCAACACTCTCGATTCACATGGTCGACCAAACAATGCCCACGTGCCCTGCACTAGCAGCTCCTGCTGTGCCGGCTACGTACATAAAAGAACACAAAAGGAAATAAGAAAAACGACAAGATTACCAAATTACATAAGTAACATTGAGGTGCCACTGAAAATGAATTAAGGAGAAGTAAGCCGTGCTTGACGAGTGAAAGCTTAAGGTATGAAGGGGAATATTTTTAACCACAGACCGAGGGCGTCAAGTCGATGTTCAAACTCTTTCCCCGTCGGTGCTATTACAACTTCTGCAGGCAGCTGCTTTCCAATAACATATGACCCCACGCGATAACCGAGAAGCTGCCTCAGCCCGGTCAGGTCGGGGTTTGGTCAACTTCAGCGCGCGATCACGAAGGGTTAGCACTCGAGTTTTGTGAAACAGTCCAGTTAAATCAGAATCAACCTGACCCATTAGTATGCGATATGTGAGGACCAAGTCACCAGTAATACATGAAAAACATCCAACTTACGTAGCCTCTCAGAGTACGTCAACTTCTTTAACCCATGCACCATTTTCCTCCCAGACCGCAATACCCGTTCAGTTGCCATCCTTTCACGAACGTGACATGGGGGACAAGCCTGTACACAGTATTCCAACTGCAACCTTACATAAGCCGAAAATAGTTTAACGTACATTTCAGTCGTCATCAGCGCTTGTTTGTCTTTTCACCAACCATGTTGTTGACGGTGTGGTTGATTTACGGGCACCAAGGACAAAACAGAGCGGCTTCTTATTCCTGGAGGCAGATTACTTAGTCTACTCCAACTTTCACTGTTTTGCGTTCACATTTTTGAGCGAAAACCTTTATTTTATTACCCTTAGCACTCTCCTATCTAAGCCTGGGCAAGCTGACAGTATCCTGTCCATTCAACGCATGAATAATTCCTTCAAGCGACTGCATGATGCTGTGGCCACCGCAGAGGATAATCAGCGGCGCCCTATCTGCTGCATCCAGCTAGGTGGATAAGAGTGTGTGTTACCGCTCAGGACGTCTCGTCCTCGAGTTCTCTCTCTTTATTTCCAACTCGTTGCCGGCGCAACGAGACTGGGTTTTAACGTCGTGCGACAGTTTACGTACTTTATTCACCCTGCGTAGTGCCTCCGGGCATTTTGAGTTCTACTTCTACCAGGTTGGTCAATGATGAGAGGTCAGATAAACACTCTCCTGGTCCTCCAGGTTGGGGGTTTGAAATGGGATGGCGTCCATTTCTGTAAAACTAAATCATTGCCACCTCCCCGCTGCCTTGCGGACAGGCTTTTGAGCCAAAGGCTTTGGATGAGGACCCTGATCGTCCTCCTGTCTAGGTCTGGGCGCCCTGGCAGTATTTCAACCCACTTACAACCATGACAATTTTCCAAAACTCTACCTACATCCTTCATCGGCCATCGCGCAGATAATCAAGGGTTGCCTTATATTCTACATACAACATGGCGGGTGAGCAAAAACATGCTACTGCGGGCGCTTCCTTCCTCACCTGTTTCTCTTATTTCTCTCCCGATCCCCATCACTAACCTTAATCCTATAATTCCCAGCTTAACTGACAGCAACCGAAGTGCTCCTGGAGTAGACCCATCTGCAGCTACCATCCCACAACACCTATCGGCAACAGTCTTTTATAACACGCTGTCTCGTTTCCCTGGCGGCGTTCAACGTTTGCATTCTAAGACAAATAGGTCAATATTCTGCACTCTCACGTACCTTGGACACAGTGGGTATTGACATATGTTGTATGTCCGAAACTAAGATCAATGACCATAATGAGGTTGTTGAATTAACTGCGCCCTGCTTGTCCTCTCGCTATTGGTTGCACGCATCCGAAGACGTTGATGCAACACTCACCGGTCAAGCTGGTGTAGGTATCATTCGCAGCTCCAAGACTGAACCATTGTTGATTGGTTGGATTCCGGTGAACGGCTGTTTATGTGCAGCCCGTTTGACGACGTTTGATTCACGAAGTAGTAAAAAGCGCTGTTTGTGATTTCCGCTTGTACTCCCACCGACTGTAGTTCAAATGCTGTCAAGGACACATTCTTTCACGAACTGAGTGCGCTACTACGCAGTGCTACTAGTTCAGATATAGTATTTGCAGGGGATATGGACACACAAGTAGGACGTCTGAGCTCTTCAGAAGCTCAGATGAGTGGTTATTGTGGGCTTAACTCGGAGCAAACTGAAAATGGCGCGCGTCCGCTGCAACTGTGTGCGGAGCACCAGTTTTTCCTTAGTAGCACTACTTTTAGACACAGTAGGCGCCGAAATGCTACTTTACTTCCTCCTGTGCCTGACCAGCGACTGACCCAAATTGATCACTTTGCCATAAGTTACAGGTGGTGTGGTTCCATCCTGGATTGCCACTCGTACTGAAATAGCTGCGTCGACTCTGGTCATGCCTTGGTACGCTGTCGTTTCACCATGAACTTTACCGGGACGCGCACCAAGTGTCTCCCCCGATTGGTAACAGAGAAATTGTCTCAGCCCTCGGTCAGGCAAGCCTATCAAGACGCACTGCGTATCGAACTTTTGCTGTATTATCCTAATGACACTTAGCTTCGGTGGAATATGATGTCGGCAGCCATGCATGACACAGGAGCATCTGCTCGTGGCACTATCAATCGTCACCGTACCAGTCACTGTATATCCGAGCGGTCTGTGAACCTTTTGGAATCCAGAAGATACCTCGCGGCTGCCTCTTAGCATAATGTGACCAGACGGACCATTATGCGCGAACTGAGGCGGTGCCTGCGTGCTGACAAAGAAACCTGGTGGACCAGTCGGGCTCAAGAAATGGAGGAGGCAGGAGCAGTAGGCAATTACCGCAAGCTCTTCCATCTGATTCGCACCACCGGTCCCAGGAAACCAGGCGTCAGTGTGACAATCAAACAGCGCGAGTGCACTGAGACACAATAAGGAGCGCTGGATGGCTCGTTGGACGGAACACTTTTAAGATCGGTTCAGCTGGCCCTCTGCTTTCGGACCACTTCCCACTCAGGTGATGCAGGGCGGGCCATGGATAGTTAGGTTAGAGTCTCCGTCGGAGGCCGAAGTCTGAAACGCGATCACAACCCTCAATCGTTTTCGTGCCGCTGGCCCGGATTCCCTCCCATTCGCAGTATTTAAAGATGGAGATGAGGTTTTTTGCAAAGCACTGATCTCCTTATTCGAATATATCTGTAATTTAAAACAGTTAGTCCCCTTCAGTAGTTTGAACAACGAAATGAGAAGACGAATATTGGCAGATGCTAGCATTTCGTATTATCTCGTCAGTACCAATACAATAACAGGGAAATCCTTTTATATATCTTACAGGGCACAGTCAAACCAATCAAATTTATTGTTATGGTCATTGTTATCAGATTACGTCCACGGCAACCGCAGGTTGACAACTAATTGCTAATTGTCCCGGCTAACTAGAGTGAATCGATTATAGTGGCAATATACAAGAAGGGCAGTCGCACAGGCTGCGCTAACGCCAGAGGGTATTAGCATAACACCAGTTGTGACAAAATTACTGGCCTCGATTCTCGTTCGTCACCTCACACTGGAACGGGAATTTCATTAGGCAACAGCAGGCAGCTTTCCGCCCAGAAGGTGGCTGTATAGACCATATATTCACTTTGCGGCAGGTGCTAGAGCAGCGCCACGCATACCGTAGACCGACAAAACCTATGTTCCTCGACATCAAGAGTGTTCGATTCTGTCGCTCGATGCATTATGTTCGAAATACATACGCGGAAATGTTCCCACGAAATACGTGAACATCTTACGTGCTCTATACTCGAACACTACAGGCCGCGTCAGGGTCTATGGTGCCCTATCGGATAGCTTTCCGACGACAAGTAGCGTTTGTCAGGGTTGTCCGATTTCCCTGTTTTGTTCAATTTCGTCGTGGACTTCATCATGGAATGTTCCCTCGCGAAATCTCGCGATGTACGCGTCGAGGTCCTTCCTGGTAAAATGTTAGTTGCTCTTGATTATAATGACGATATCGTCCTGCTTTTTGACTATATTTGGGGCGGACCAATCAAGCATGAAAAACCTGTCTAGAGTGGTCCCATTATTTGGTATGCACTTCGCATCTTCAAAGTGCAAGGTGTTGCTGCAGGGCCACCAGCCACTTTATGACCCCTTAACCCTTGATAACTAGGAACTCGAGGTAATTGATCGATTCACTTATTTTGGCAGCTGCAACAGCAACGATGGGCACATAGAAAGTGAAG